CCCCACATAAGGCTCCTGTCTATCAAGTGGCACAAATGCAGGCTAACTCTCGGAAGTTATAAGCAGATCCCTGATACACGATCTTAATTTCTGAACGGAATCTCACTCTGAAAAACCGAAATACAGAACGATCTGGGCTTTTATGCACACATCCTAAAGCCTCCTTCACCAGGTTTTAAGGCAATAAAATCCGCAACTTTAATGCTGTGAGCCAGCAAGTGGGCACCTACAGCTTTCGGTAGGGGCAGCATCTCCAAAGTATTCGATGTGTTTTTAAGGCTTCATCTCGAATTGGCGACCCGGACCTGAAGGCCTTCGACGCAGTGGTATAGCAGCCTTCCTTAAAGGGTACACAGATGCGTCACAGACTTATTACGAGCTGAAGTGCTACCTTAATAACCGTAATCTCTATCATCTGAATTATGGGCGGTTGCGCGGATTCTTGATATTAAAATTTGTATTTGGTTTGATTTGCACATCGTTCTCCTGTGCGGCGACGTTTTCTAACTGACCACTGAAACTAATCTCCGGAGACCTCCCTTCAAAATTCATGCGTCACAAGGAAACTTGGAAGTCGGAAAGTATTTTTCTCCAGTCGTGTCTTGGAGCCTTCGAAAAACCTGCCCGAGGCGACTGTACTGTAACAGTCTCTGAACTCATTCAAACATCGAGTTGACAGACTTTTTGTACGAACTAGCTGAAGAACTTCTCGTGTCATGTAAATAATGCTTGGCTTTTCATTTTGCAGCTCAAATAAGTGTAGCTACTGTGGTGTTTCTTTATGCAGTGCCGGTTTTCGTCACCTGAATATACGCACCAGAGGTCAGAAGTTATGTCAAAGGACAGTCACATAACTCGGTGATACTTTAAGTGTTTCTATAGAAATAAACAGTAAGGCTAACAGTGCATGATAGGTAAAAAATGAGAGTTATAAATCAATAGGAGGGGGGACATTCATTCAAGGTGCTTAGACGAGCAGTCATGAATGACGCAGACGCGTTGCTGCCAGTTTATAAGGGAATAACTACATGGGGCAGGAGTCCACGAACCAGGGGGCGAATAAGAACACGATGCAAGGAAAAAAGAGCGTGGGGAGTGGTGCATAAGCAGACGGGAATAAAGCTCGCAGTGTGTCAGCGAATGGGAATGCAGTCAACGAGGTCAAGGGGTCAGAACATGTGACAAGGCACGTGAGAATAATGAAGAAAATGTGCCTGTGCCATCAGAGGATTAATAAGCGGGCTTAAGGACACATGCTTCGGCCAAGTGGGCCAAGTCCTACACACAGTTAACAGAAAATAAAATCTGAATACGACATTGACGTGATGAATGTCACACTTATGCCGCGGCAACAAGCAAACACTGTGACACTTTACCCTAAAAGCCAACGTTCTATGTGAAAGTAAGTCACTTGTAATTTCCCTACCTGGTTGTTAATTACGTCGATTTTTATGTGACAAATAGGCAGTTCAAAGGCCTAAGCCTTTTAGTGGCCAACTACACTTAAGACCTATAAAACCAATAAAACGTGATAAAAACACTGTGGCACGAAACCTAGAGAGTGAGGACTAAATTTCTACAAACTACGGCGATAGACAAAATGAATAAAAATGTAGAAACGATCATATGGAAAATGTAAAACGAACTCATAAAAATCCCGATAGTCTTCCTTAACAGTAGCCAGAGCTCGACTTGCGAGAAGAGTTTGTTTGGCTAAATTTGCCAGCCAAACTTGTCTACCCAGCAACAAGATGACTGAGAAATTAGTTAGTCGCGTGTTTGAAGTGAAATTTCGCTTTTAGCGTCTGCTAACCGCAAGCACACTCTCAAAGCAGTCAGCAGTCATGCGAATAAGTCCCTCCACAACGCTAGCAAATATAGCAGAAAAGTTGTTATTCACTTAAACATAAACGTGCATGGAATGGATCCAACAAAGCAAAGGGAGACCTGGATGGCCATTTCTGGCTTGTTAGCCATCGTCAGCCACTCATACCCAATCTCAAGAGTTGGAACCCCTAGACTAGAACCCGGGACATTTGTTCATTGAGTTTAACACACGTAAAATGACCTACAGCCTATATTACTCAATAAAGATGAAAGAAGCTGAAGCGATTAGCAGCCCAGGCATTAAGAAAAGTATAAATATGAAATGCAACAGACTGCGAGTTATTCACATAGGCTCTAGGCAGGTTTTCTTTCTTAAGGCATTAATAAGTAAACACTCCGCGCTAAGGATAAAACATAACAAGACTTACAGTTATCTGGAAGAGCAATTTCTCTTAAATGTGCCCGTGCTTATCGGTAGGGCTTTCGTGTGAGGCTGCCTAATGGCAATAGGCTTCCTTTATTAACCAATAGGCCCTCTTATAGTCAAAGGAGTTATTCCAGTAGTTTTCTTGGTCCCGATTTTTCGTTTAGTAGAGGTTTGCTGTACTAGCTAGTGGTCTGAAGGCTTCCTTTACACCTATGATTTTAGTTAAGTAAAGCAATTACGAGCCGCTTTAGTTCATTTTCTCTTGTGCACTTATCGCGCATTAATCACGTATGACCTATTCATTAATCAAGCACTAAACTTTCAATTGCGCATTCCGCTAGAAAATTGTGCGGGGAGAATTTTTTTCAGGTGGCCTGACAAGAGAAGTCTACCAACAAATCAATAAATCCATTAATGGCGATATCATAAGAACACCATTTATTCAGAAAATTCTGTTTCGCGGAGGAATAGTTTTAGAATAACTCAAAAGCTTGAAGGTATGTTAATAGCTCGACCCGGATGACAGTCCAACAAAGCTGCTCTTTGAACCTGCTCGACAGCTGGTGAAACCGCTATCCATTCTATGTAAGGACTCGTTCGGTATCGGAATTCTTCCAACAGACTTGAAATAAACATCCTGCCAGTATAGAGTATGTATGCCGCCCACCTCCACTTGGTCGAATTGATCACGGCGTACATTAGTGGGATTATGGTCTATATTCTGTACCTCCTCCAAAAAACGAACCGAGGCCGAATGAATGTTTAGGCGACATCTCTCAAATTAGAGCAGAGGTATCGAAAAAAGACTGAGGGTTTCTTTCATCCAGGGATGTCACTGAGGACTGGACTAAATTAAAAGAGCGGTTGTTACTTCTGATGCAAAGCCACTGCCACAATCAGTGTCCAAGATATCCAACCTAACTCAGTCGCTTACAAGAGATCTAACAATAAAGGTCAATGAGAAAGGAAGGCTTTAGCAGAAGCTTTGTGGCACAACAAGTCCAACAGGTCCTGCGTTCGGTCCGACCATATTTCACTTGTTCATATATGACTGTCTATAGGAATTGCTCTGTGAGT